AAAAATCCCCCAAAAATCCCCAAAAATCCCCAAAAAATCCCCGAAAAATCCCCAGAAAATCCCCCAAAAAACCCCCAAAAAATCCCCAAAAAAAACCCAAAAAATCTCAAAAAATCCTCAGAAAATCTCCAAAAATCCTATAAAAAATCTCAAAAAATCCTCAAAAAAATCTCAAAAAATCCCCCAAAAATCCCCAAAAAAATCCCCCAAAAATCCCCAAAATATCCAAAAAATTTCTCAAAAAAATCCCAAAAAATCCCAAAAAATCCCCAAAAACCCCCCAAAAAATCCCCAAAAAAATCCCCAAAAAACCCCAAAAAAATCCCCCAAAAAACCCCCCAAAAAACCCCAATTTTTTATGTTCCCCTCCCCAGCTGCCGTTCCCGTTCCGGGCTTTGATTTTGCGCTCCATGGGCTCCGTGATCCGGAATCACCTCCAGGATTTGGGGAAATCCACGGCCGGGGGCATCGTGGGCTTGGCAGTGCAAGAAATGACCAAATCCAAGGTGAATTTACCCCAAAAAAACTAATTAATTAATTGTTAATTGGTCGAATTATTAGAAAAAAAGGATTGAAGGAAATGTTGGGGAAAAAGAAAAAAAAAATGGAAAAAATCGCAAAAAAAATGAAAAAAAAAATTCAAAACGTTAAAAAAACGATTTAAAGAAATGGCCTAAAAATTGGTAGGGAATTAAAAAAAAATTTAAAGGTTAAATGGAAAAGGATAAAAGAGTTTTTAGAAAAATTTTTAAAAAAATTTAAAAAAAAAATTAAAAATCTGCTGAAATGAAAAAAAAAAAATTCGCCCCAAATTCCCCAGAATTTAAAAAAAAAATTAAAAAAAAATTCACCAAAAAATGCTAAAAAAATCCAAGAAATTACCAAAAAGATTTTTAAGAATTCCAAAAAAAAAAAAAAATCCTAAAGAATTTTAAAAACGTTTTTCAAAGTTAAAAAAATTCCAAAAATATTAAAAAAAAAAAAAAAAAATCCAAAAAAAATCCAAAAAAAATTCCAAAAAAGTTTTTAAAAAATTCAAAAAAATCCCCCAAAAATTTTTAAAGAATTCAAAAAAATCCCCCAAAAATTTTTAAAAAGCCAAAAAATTAAAAAAAAAAAAATCCTGGAAAATTTGTAAATAATTCCAAAAAAAAAATCCAAAAAAAAACCCCGAAAAAATTCCAAAAAAAGTTTTAAAAAATTCAAAAAACAAATTCTGAAAAAGATAAAAAAAAAATTTTAAAGATTCATGAAAATAAAAAAAAAAATTTGAAAAATTTTTACAAGTCCAAAAATATTCCTGGAAAAATCATAGAAAATCCCAAAAAAACAAAAAAATCTTGAGAAATGCTAAAAATAAAAAAAAAAAAAAAAATTAAAAATAATTTTTAAAAGGCAAAAAAAAAATTTAAAAATCCCAAAAATTCCCCCAAAAATTAAAAAAAATCCTAAAAATTTTTTTTAAACGCAAAAAAATTCTTAAAATAGTCCAAAACAATTAAAAAAAAAATTTTAAAGAATTTTTTTAAAATTGCCAAAAAAGTGAAAAAATATTTTTAAAAATGAAATAATTTAAAAATTTGTCAAAATTAAAAAAAAAAAATCCCAAAAAGGTTGAAAAATTTTATAAAAACCAACAAAAAAAGAAAGAATTTTTTAAATTTTTTTTTAAATTCCAAAAACGTTCCAAAAAAAATTTTAAAAAATTCCAAAAATTAAAAAAAAATTTAAAAAGTAAAAAAAATTTTAAACTTCAAAAAAAATCCCCAAAAATTCAAAAAAATCCCCAAAAAATTAAAAAAAATCCCCCAAAAATTAAAAAAACCCCTCAAAAATTAAAAAAAAAATCCCCCAAAAATCTAAGAAAAAATCCCCAAACATTAAAAAAAAAAATCCCCAAAAAATTAAAAAAAATCCCCAAAAATTTAAAAAAAAATCCCCAAAAAATTAAAAAAAAAAACCCCAAAAATTAAAAAAAAAATCCCGAAAATTAAAAAAAATCCCCAGAAATCTAAAAAAAAATCCCCAAAATTCAAAAAAAAACCCCCAAAAATTAAAAAAAAAAAAATCCCCAAAAAATTAAAAAAAAATCCCCCAAAATTAAAAAAAAATCCCCAAAAATCTAAAAAAAATCCCCCAAAAATTCAAAAAAAATCCCCCAAAAATTAAAAAAAATCCCCCAAAAATTAAAAAAAAAACCCCAAAAATTAAAAAAAAATCCCCCAAAAATTAAAAAAAAATCCCCAAAAAATTCAAAAAAACCCCAAAAATAAAAAAAAAATCCCCCAAAAAATTCCAAAAAAACCCCCAAAAATTAAAAAAAAAAATTCCAAAAAAATTTCAAAAAAACCCCTAAAAATTTTATTTAAAAATTCCAAAAAAAAAAATCCCCCAAAAAATCCAAAAAATCCCCAAAAAATTCCAAAAAAAAATTCCCAATTTTCCCCTCATTCTTTAAGATGGATTCTTCAAATTTGGGGATGAGAATTCCCAAATTTTTTTGAATTTTTTTTTCATTTTTTCATTTTTTTCTCTTTTTTCTCAGGATTGGATCCCGGAATGGCAGGAGGCCGCCGGCGACGTTTTGGTGGAAATTGGGAAAAAATTCCTAAATTTGGTGATGGAAGAAATTTTAGGAAAATTCCAACCTGGAATTGTTCCCCATCCCTGCGTGCTCAGAACCTTCGGAAAGCTCAGCACGGCCAACGGTGATGGGAAATTCTGGAATATTCTGGGGGAATTCTGGGAAAATTCTGGGAATTCTGGAACCTTCTGGGAAAATTCTGGGGAAATTCTGGGAATTCTGGAACCTTCTGGGGGGAATTCTGGGAAAATTCTGGGAATTCTGGAACCTTCTGGGGGAAATTTCGGGGAGAAATTCCAGGAAAATTCCAGGAAAAACCCGGGAAAATTGTGGGAAAAGTCTGGAGAAATTCTGGGAAAATCTGGAAAAAATCAGAGAAAATTCCGGGAAAATTCCAGGAAAATTCGGGGAAAAATCCGGGAAAATTGTGGGGAAAATTCTGGAAAAAATCCGGGAAAATTCTGGGAAAATTCTGGAAAAATCCAGGGAAAATTCTGGAGAAATTCTGGGAAAATTCCGGAGAAATTCCAGAAAAATGCCTGGAAAATTCTGGGAAAAATCTGGAGAAATTCTGGGAATTTTTTGGAGAAATTCCGGGAAAATCCAGGGAAAAACCCGGGAAAATTCTGGGAAAATTCTGGAAAAATCCAGGAAAATTACATGAAAATTCTGGGAAAATTCCAGAAAAATCCGGGAAAATTCCAGCAAAATTTCAGAGAAATACTGGGAAAATTGCGGGAAAATTCCGGGAAAATTCCTGAGAATTTCCCGGAAAATTCCAGAGAAATTCTGGGCAAATTCTGGGCAAATTCCAGCCTGGAATTGTTCCCCATCCCTGCGTGCTCAGAACCTTCGGAAAGCTCAGCACGGCCAACGGTGACGGGAAATTCTGGAACCTTCTGGGGGAAAATTCCAGGAAAACGCTGGGAAAAAGCCAGGAAAAATCTGGGAAAATGTTGGAAAAAAATCCGGAGAAATTCGGGAAAAAAATGGGGAAAATTTGGGAGAAATTACTGGAAAATTCCGGGGAAAATCCGGGAAAATTCTGGGAAAATTTGGGGAAAATTCCGGGAAAATTCTGGGAAAATTCGGGAGAAATTCCCGGAAAATTCTGGGAAAATTCTGGGAAAATTCTGGAAAAATCCAAGAAAATGCCGGGAAAATTCTGGAGAAATTCCTGAAAAATCCGGGAAAATTCTGGGAAAATTCTGGGGAAAATTTGGGGAAATTCTGGGAAAATCTGGGAAAATTTCAGGAAAATTTCAGAGAAATTCTGGGAAATTTTGGGAGAAATGGCAGGAAAATTCTGGGAAAATTCTGGGAAAATTCCAGAGAAATTCCAGGAAAATTCCAGAGAAATTTCAGAGAAATTCCGGAAAAACGCTGGGAAAATTCCGGTAAAAACCCAGGAAAATTCTGGGAAAAATCCGGAGAAATTCTGGGGAAAATTCTGGGAAAAATCCGGGAAAATTCTGGGAAAATCGAGGGGAATTCGGGGAGAAATTCCTGGAAAATTCCGGGAAAATTCCGGGAAAATTCCGGGAAAATTCCGGGAAAATTACATGAAAATTCTGGGAAAATTCCAGAAAAATCCAAGAAAATTCCAGCAAAATTTCAGAGAAATTCTGGGAAAATTGCGGGAAAATTCCAGGAAAATTCCTGAGAATTTCCCGGAAAATTCCAGAGAAATTCTGGGCAAATTCCAACCTGGAATTGTTCCCCATCCCTGCGTGCTCAGAACCTTCGGAAAGCTCAGCACGGCCAACGGTGACGGGAAATTCTGGAATATTCTGGGGGAATTCTGGGAAAATTCTGGGAATTCTGGGGGAAATTTCGGGGAGAAATTCCAGGAAAATTCCAGGAAAAATCCGGGAAATTTGTGGGAAAAGTCTGGAGAAATTCTGGGAAAATTCCGGTGAAATACCAGGAAAATTCTGGGAAAAACCCGGGAAAATTCTGGAAAAATCCAGGAAAATGCTGGGAAAATTCTGGGGAAAATTTGGGGAAATTCTGGGAAAATTCCAGGAAAATTCTGGGGAAAATTTGGGAAAATTCCAGGAAAATTCTGAGGAAAATTTGGGGAAATTCTGGGAAAATCCAGGGAAAAACCTGGGAAAATTCCGGGAAAATTCTGGAGAAATTCCGGAAAAATCCGGGAAAATTCCAGGAAAATTCTGGGGAAAATTTGGGGAAATTCTGGGAAAATCCGGGAAAATTCCAGGAAAATTTCAGAGAAATTCTGGGAAATTTTGGGAGAAATTGCAGGAAAATTCTGGGAAAATTCTGGGAAAATTCCGGAGAAATTCCAGGAAAATTCCA